ACCACATTCTTACCTGATATCACATTTGCTTGTGCTGAGGTTGTTCTATGAGCCTGGTTTTCCATTTTAAATTTAGTCCTAAAAGTGTCTGCTAATATTGTAATTTAAAGACATGTAAATCCAGAAACTCATATTGAGGCAATGTAGATCTGAAGTGTATAATGGTGATCAAGTAGTCCAACCTGAAGTCAATCATTTCATTTCTCAATCAGGTTTTGCTTTTATCCTCCAATAAACATTTTAAAGCTTTTCTAAGGCCTTCATCATCTGCTGCATTGCATGCGTTTCTCGGAATCGTCAGACTCACACTTTCAACTTGATGGTATTCCAACATGTAATGCATCCTGTCGACAAACTGTGACCATACCATAGGTGCAATAACGTGAAAGAAATATTTTCCCTTGGGGACTGAAATAATTCAGCATTCAAATTCATAATGGGTGAGATAAGGTGCTTGAGCATCTCTGTGCATCAATGTTTCTTTTTGCTTGCATCAGACACATATACTAGAGGACCATCCTTCCACCATCCTAACACAAGTGTCTTCATCAAGTAAAAAATTCCAAATTGAGTGTAAAACTATTGACGACCACCATTTACGTGTCCATTTGGAAATGGTTTGTTATGAGCATCTTATTTCTGACTTACCTAATAGTAAATGGGATGCACTACTAATTGCCCTTCTTCCCCTTTTATGAAAGTGCCTACAAGATATTCAATTTCTGCATAAATTTTTGGAATAGTTAGTCATAGTTGGGAAATAGAAATAGAGGAAAATGTACGTGGTTTTCATTGTTGGATGGGAATGAGAATCTCTGATGCATATTCAAACTGTTCTTTTATCTGTTTTATTATTGAGAAACCAACTAAATGAAAATAGGCACTAAATCTAATCCTCTCTTTCAGGCAATGAAATTATCATCAGTAAAAGAAATGCCATTTGGGGTTGTGCTTACTGGTGAATTTGCTGTTTCACCTTCCATACAGGGTGTGATTTCACTGGCAGGCCTGGCAAGGTGATCGATATTGATGAGAGCTGCTTTTGGTGAGTATTCATTCCTTCATTCAGTCATTTGTGGGTATGATGAAAATCACACAAGAAGCTGTGGGGTCCTACTGGCTTCTCCATGACAGCTGGAGGAAGGACAACATGGAATAAATGTTAGAGAATGCTTCATCCCATCAAAGTTATTGGAACCATGTTATAAGACCTCGGTTGCCACAGATGGTTCAGTTCAGTAGTGTTTGGAACACTATTGATCGTGCCTCATGGGAAGAGACAGGCAGATGTTCATCCCATCGTCAGGTACCACATCTCTTCCAGAAGTACCATTTGTTTTGAGGAGTGCCTATAGAGACTTTAGCAAAAATGACTGCATTGAAGGGAATATGAGTCACTCACAGCATCAATCTGGCAATGAAAGATGTTCATTGCACTCTTCCTTTGCTGCTGTCTGTGGAATAATGGGCTTATCTCATGAGATCAAATGCTGGAGCCACTACTAAATGGAAGGAGGTGAAGTGGAAAGCACTGAGTAGAGGATCCTTAGTAGGAGTTTTATGGGGGTGGGGGAGGAGCTGAGGCAATATTGTACTTCAATCTGTTCGCGAAGATTAGATTGCAGTAATGGGTAGGATGAGTCCCTGCAGGTACTACAAAATAATTCATTCACAGGGGGCAAGAACAGTATCTGGTGATGAAGGTATCACCATCAAGGATACCCACACACCTGTCTAGGCTTGTCACAATTAGTGCATGTTGAGCTATTGAGCTCTAAACATTTGGACTGGACTTATTGTTACTCGACTAGACTAGTCTAGACTGATCCAGTGTGCAGGCACCCTAATTCCCATGAGATGAGCAGAGCATGTAAACTCTGGTCCCATGTCCTCTATCAATACAAGGGAGGATTAAAAGTTCCCACACCTTAAAATGTATTGTGTGCATGACAAACTTTCCTGTTTTATTCCATGTCAATTTTTTCAACATTGCCATCCTTAGCCTACATTAACATCTTTGATCATTAGTTTCATGATCCCACCTGGAATTCATTCTTTAGGAGGAGCTTTTCCCATGCATACAACTGATACTAGGGCTGTTCTTAAACCTTTTTTTTCCCATGTAGTAAATGTATAGTTTTGAAAGAAAGATGTCAGATTGCACACATTATCAGTATTAGTTAATGAAGTAGAATTCCCAGCCAAAGTCTATTGTTGCTGAGGAGAAGACATGGACATTTTGAGCGTGAGATTGTATTGTCACACTACACCTTTGGATATGAGGACAGTTTGCTCTTCAGTGTGCCAGTTTCAGCTATTTTTGGAATGTTTTTGAATGTCTAGGAGCTCTTTACCCTCCCCCCACTCCCTTGTGGAAAGTGTGAGACCAAACTTGATGTACTCTCCAGCCACCTCACAGAGGGATGTCAGTGATAGCCTCCATTGCAAGGCACCATTCTTGGACTTTGTGGAAGAAGCAAACCCTCAGAACTGGCAGTGACTCTATCTACCTATTTATGCAGTCAAAATCTTATTACTGGTTTAGGTGCAACACAGTCTGTTTAAAATGAATGAATGGGTGTGGGTGATGTCACTGGGAATTGGACCAGTTGGCTTTCTTCCTGCTGAGAACTGTATTATTTAAAATACAACAGCCACATGAAGTTCTCCTTGGGGGATTCCCCATGACAAGTGCAATCTATGCACCCTGATGAAAGGAATGGAAAGTTCATCATTGAAAAATGAGAAGGAAGCAATTATATGCTCTTCCATTTCATATTAGGTCTACTTAACTTTCACTCTATTTGCTCTTATTTTGGACAGTCTGTTCCATGGAGCACCATGGTGACATGGTGTCCTGTTGTCATTTATGCTGTATTTTACTTGGTTACCAAAGAATGGTAGAATCACTTCCAAATGCACAGGTAGATGACTAGTTTGTAGAAATATATACAAAGCTAACCTCTGCATTCTATCTGGCTGTACATTTGAGCTATGAAGCTTGTCCAAACAATGTGCCATGGTTGATGTCCACCAGATGAAGACTGAACATCCTAGGTGTCCACAAATACAAATCAATGAATCTATTTGAGTCTCATAGGCTAAGCATCCCTAATGTGGACTTGTGTCAATTGTTTAGAGGGTACTTTTGGAGGTGATTGACCCATCTCACAGAGCCATGGGACCCTGTGCATACAAATCAGGATCTATCTTCACCTTCTTGCTTCAGCTCAATTCTGTTAGTGAGCTTCTCAGGTTTTGACTTGCATCATTCACCATCCAGGGTCAAGAATCCAATTCCACCCATACTATTATTAGCCTAAAATTTCTCCAGTGTGTACAATTTGCTTATGCTTCAAAATTCCCAGTATGATGTATTGAGTTCATCCATGATACATATAAATGATCCTCAGCAACTGCTATTTTGCAGCAATATTTGAAGCATCAGGCCAAACTTCTTTAAGAAACCTTTCTCTATGACAAATGAGAGGTGGCAAGTTTTCCTTTGAAACTGGTTGGCCTCTCTATTTGGTCTTTCTGGACCTCACATTCTTTTTTCTCTCTCTTTAGTTTGTGAAGCTATATAGTTTAAGAATTCCTGAAATCTCTTGTAGAGTGTTCCCTTAGAGGTCTTTGCACCAGTAATACTTATCCACTACTGTCAGTTTTATCTTCAATTAATTTTAGACTGAAATGCACTCATAGCAAGATCATGGACATTATCCATTGGTATAGGTGCACTTTTCTTATATTACAGTAGGCCTTCATTGCAAAAAGTGAAAAAAACCCTAATTCTTGGAGTCTGTCACTGGTTGTAGATTTGACAGCTAAGAAGATTGATGGTTGTGTTTCACATATATCAGGTATCAACTCATGTAATCAGTGTTTATCCTCTTATTGAACTTTATTTGCTTGAGCTCACAGTCTATGTATGAGTTGTCATGCATGTCTGAAATCCTAGCATCCTTTTGCAGCTTAGCTTAAAAGCGTACATTCTACTTCATTAAAATACTCTTTGAGGTCTACTCCTCAAAATGTGAACGTAGACCTTGAAAAATCTATTTAAAGTGCTGTTACTAATTATAAAAATTCAATGAATTTTTTCATATATTTTTTCTTGAAACGTCAGAACCACAACAATCAAGCAACATTGACCTGTAAACCTGCACCATAACATGAGCATTATTTTTGTACATCTTAATTTAGAGCTCTGAATGTACTTTTTCTTTCATGCAGGCATTGTCAAAGCATATACCTTTTAAATGACAGCTATGCATTCTCTTCACAGATGGTACTATGACTTCCTCAAATGTTCAAGCTTCACTGCTGTTGGAAATACAAAGTCTCCATGTAAGAAGCAGGAGAGTGATGGAGATAAAAGGACAGTGGATCCATTGCCGATTGGCCTAGATGGCTGCATTTTTTGGTGCTATCACTATGAAGGTCTGTATTGCCTTTCTCTTTATCTGTATTTTTGCACAAAAATTGGTACATATATATACTTGAATCAAGGGGTGGAAAATGTAATCCAGGATGCCATTTTTGTTCCACATCATACACATGTGAGGCATTTATGACCTCTCTATTTTTTACCAATCTCCATGATGCTGCCCACATTTTCCCCAGCCTGCCAGGAGCTTTGGAAGCCAGTTGCCTGGAATTTATTTGGGGTGGCATGCAGAACTGCAGAATATTCTCATGCACTTCTCAACCAGTATGGAACGTCTTTGCACCCAGCAATCCTCTAAGTGACTTGAACATGTGAAAGTCACTCGGTGTGAGATTGGGATTGTATGCGGATGGGTTTGCAGCTCCCTTCCCTTTTCAAATGTGTTGTTTCCTTCCCCTGTGTGGGGACACTCATTGTTCTACTGAAGGAGCATGCCTTTTGCCTGAGCAAACCATGTCTCTTGTAAATTCTTTCCTGGATGTGTTCCTTCAGTGCCTTCATATTGAGCTGTTGCCTCACATACATTGCCTGTCTAGGAGGAAAAAACTTAGCATGGATAGCTGCAAGCTCGTCCAAAACAATGCATGCTGTGACTTTGCTTGGTATTGGTTGTGTGGGAATCTTTTTGCTTCTATTGCTATGGTGCCTTTTTATCATGGCATCTATTTTTTTAATTATTTTATCATGGATCACTTTTCTCTGCAGGGTGTCATCACCTTTTTTCTTGTTTTGATCAAAATGACCTTAGCTCACTACCATGTCATGATTCTTCTATTTGAAGCTCAACTGCCTTGGCACCCTTCTGGTGCCAACTTCAGGAACTTGAGGTCCATATGAATCATGCTTTCCTCAGTCCCAGTGTTAATGCCCATTAATACTACAATTTCCCATGTAGTGACATGTTTGTTGGCAATAATGCATTTCTCCATATTCAAGAGGTGTACATTAGTCAAGACAGTACAAGACCTGCCACCTCTCTGGTTGTATTGGCCTTTCCCAGAGGCATGCACACCATTCAACCTTGCTTAATGGAAGCAGGTTAATATACGAACACTGCTGAGAGTCATCTGTGATTATTTGAATTGATAGTGAATATCCGGGATTTGTGGTAACTTCTGCTATTAGGAACTTGTCAACACTCAGCATATGTTTGCAATATCTTGACTGATTCCATAAACATACAGGTACCTTGCACTAGTATAAGTCAGAAAAAAAAAAGAAATTGTCTCCTGGATTACATTTTTCACTCCATGTAATTAATGTTGTTACCACTCAATAATAAATGTATGCATAGGATGCTTTTATTGCACCAAATTTTTTTTTTCCAGATTCATGAGAATGGCTTCATGGTGGACCAGAGACTCCAATTGATGCCATCAAACAACACACCATTGATTCCTTTTGAATGTCTCTTTGGTGTTGCTGCGAGGTCAAGTTTTTGCATGTTAATGCAATTTTTTGGAGTTAAATGCAAATGGAGGCATGCTTGCAGGTGCCCATCATCTATGAGAACACTACCACCAGGTACTCATGCAGACTCCAGCTCTCCACAAGGATGATCTCACAAGCTAGCAGACTTGACTTGATGAGTGCATTACTCTGTGTAAATCTGCCCTAAGGAGGGTAGTTCTGCTTCAGCCAGTATGCTCTGAATGCACCAGTTTGCAGTTACTTGCCCCAAGGGTGCCATTGTTGGTACGGTCTTGGTGTACCAGGGCAAGATGAGTATTTGCAGTTTTTTACTTCCTATTTGTCTGCAAAACCCTTCTGTTTGCTTGACAAAAGAGTATGGTGGACTTCAACCTCGCTTGTGCAAGGTTCGAAAGACCACGGCAAGTCGCAAGAAGTCGTCGGATGATCTTTGGGACCTGGATTTCTGTGCAATTGAGGAATCTACAGCTTGCACCCTCTCATACTCAAATACCTTTCTCCAATTTTGGATTCAAAGGTCTAGTTAGTTTTATGTAAGCTGGTGTTATGAATTTATTGGCAAAGGAAAATGAATATCATGTTTTCTGCAGAGAGGATTTTTGCAGTATCCTATTGAAAGTAACTCAAGGGCTGCATTTCAATGAACTGGCATGTAAGTATTGATTCTCTACCTCTTAATGGTCTTTCTCTGGATTATAGGAAGATCAAGTCAATATGAATAGCCAAATAGCTTTTGTAATGCTTTTGCTTCAATTGAAGGTTTGCTGTGACAGAGGTGTCCCTCTCCCAATCCTGTCTTTCTTGTCTCCATGGCTTGTGCTAATTTTTTTAAATTCCTGTCATCGCTTGAGCTTCTATCCAGTCATTGCATGGATGTTCTTTCTTCCCTATGTAAGGAATTAGGGATGGGACCAATATGGCTTCAGTTGCTTGCCATAGGCCAACATTTGCTATCTACCATATCAGAAGTGAGCATCTTGCACCCAACTGATTGCTAACTTTAATTAAAATCTACATCTAAGCAATTACTTTACTGAATGACAGGCAAAAGTGCAAGATCATGCCGAATGGCCATGTGTGCTGAGTTCCCCATTTCATCCTTGAATCATCACCCAAGGGAGCACAGATCCATGACCCAAATTTACAGTGAGAGCAGGAAACAGAATTTCTCCATCATCTCCACAGGACACTAATGTAGGCATGCTTTCTTGCACGAAGGTAACATTTTCATTGCATTTTAACAGTTCAGCATTTTACATCACAGGAAGAGGGTTTTTAATTTTGGCTTAGTAATCCCAGAAATTGCAATAAATTCTGTATCCTGCAAAGGATTGCTTATTTTACACTCCAGAATGTGATCCATTTCTTATTTTTTAGATTGATTTTGGAAAGAGGCTCCAATCAATGGAGGATATGAGTGCCAGACGACATTGCAAGGTGTACTCTTTTCAAGCCGTACATCAACATGTCACGCCATTCATTTTAAATGCATGAATGTAAGAATGCAAATGACAATGTTAGCTGAATAGAAACCTGAAAACTCCCAAGGTTTACTGTGACTATTGGACATTCAGTTCAACATTGAAAAGTGAAGTTAATATTTTCCATAATTTCTCAGCTGTAATACTGAATATTCAAGCATCTTACATGATGTGACTTAATTTGAGTGATTTTTTCCTTTTTCCTTTTGCCTGATTTCAGATCATGACAATGGGTGTCTGCAACATTGTGTTCAAGCTGGCAAAGCAGTGAAAAGAAAAGGAAAGAGACACTAATGAATAACACTTTTCATGAAACAAAAAGGAAAGCGACACTAATAAGTACAAACTTCCAAAAATGTGTGCACCCATTTTGGCCTGCAGAGATGAGAATTACCACAGTATTGTAGTTGGACTTACTTACTTAAATAGCCTGTTCTGTTTTGTTTCTTTTCTATGTTTCAGATTTTTCTGTTTTTGCAATGTGGCATATTCTAATTTGGATGAAATGGCTCTGGATAGCGTTATGCCGATGGCATCTTGCACATTTCATGGAATTATCATTTAGATGCAGGAAATACAACACTCTCAACTGAAAGATTCCTATTATTTCCACCCATATTGTGAAATCAGTCAGTTCTGAAACAGAAAAGAAATGCAACTGATTTGGAGTAGTGCAATCTTGGGGTCTGCCACATCTTAGCTGACCAGGAGATTGCTCCATTATTGCCACCTTATATTGATTTATCAGCAGCAGCAGCAACCAAGACTTTGATTCAACCAATATTGAATGAAAGGAGAATGAAACTTGTTTGCAAAAGCACAAGCTAGTGGAGTGGTGGGAGCATGTAGTGTAAACGTTTGTGAGCCTGCATTGAAATAGCATTGAAATTAATATTTGTTTTGCCTCTGTTCACAGTAATCTTTCTTGCACTGCAGGAATTGCAGAATTGCCTCTAACTTTTGCATTGTTTCTTGTTCTCTCTCTCAAGTGTCAATTCCCTGATGTTCAAGTCAAATTATTCTCTGAGAACTTATTGTGCAAGGAAGACTTTGTCATTAACTAGATGAAGGATGTCAAAGATCCTTTACATTTTCTTGTAAAGGTGGCTTTTTGTTTAGATGAAGATAATTTCAAGTGGAATTTTCATTTTATTCCTGAATATTTGCAGATTTGGATGATGGCTGGTGATAGCAGTGAAGCAGGGAGATGCTATTAGACATATAGTCGTAATTGTTGGTGGTACACAAGTTAGTTCTCCTTTGCTAGATCAGGGTATTTTGAGAGGCTGTTGCAGCATAATATAATCATGACCTTGAGGAATACTTTTCCAGATCTGGCTCCTGGAGTTCCTCATGGATTTTATATTTGGGAGGAGGATATCCCATCCATGGTCTCACCTGGCATACTGAAACCTGGAAGACACAGGCTTCAAAGGAAGACTGCTCTCAGATGTCCCTCAATGGTGACCTTATGTCTCTAATCTCTGATCTCCAAAATGAGACTGCTGCTTTGCAGTTCTATAATGGATAGCATCAATGTGCAAAGTCTCCTGTATGCATCTTCTGTCCCCTGTGCAGAACGACATCTCACGGAAAGACCCTCTCTACCCAGGATTGTGCCTTGAGTGAATTTTGGTTTCTTCAATCTTGATTCTTTTGCTGAAGTTTTCTGGCTCCATGCCACTTCATTAGAATGCATATAGAATCTCATCCCAACAATAATAGTTACTATTTAAGTAATGGGGTGGATGTGACAAATGGAATACCCAAGAAAGTTAGAAACACTGGGGAAGTGTGACCTGTGTGGTGTTATGCAGTATCCACATGAAATATGTACAGGGTGGTCACAATGTATCGTCACCCCTGCAGCAATTTCTGCGAGTCTTTTTTTCAGTTTAATTGAACATGATCACAAGTGAAACAAGCTATTACACTATTGAACAATGATTGTTGCCTGTCTGTGTTCATGAGAAATCATCACTCACTTCATCCGTGTTTCATGAGGTTAAGAGTTTATGCTCACATTGCAAATAAGTTTTTTTAATGAGCTTCTTGGTGGAGCCATTGGTGGAAATCATCACTAACTTCTTCCATGTTCATCCCTATTTGTGGACATGTGAACTCAGACACTAGCAACAATGCATTGTTTAGTGCAGTAAATGCTGTATCACTCATGATTATGTTCAACTAGCTCGAGAAAAAAAAAGAAAAGGAAAGAGGACATGTAGAAATTGCTTCATAGGTGACAAGACATTGATGCCACCCTGTAGAGCTTGCCTAGCCTTTCTTGAAGTTTAAGTGATAGTGACCAGCTTTCAAGATGTTGAAGTAAGGCCTTTTGAGGAGTTCTTCATGTGACAGTTAATCTAAGAATAGGGTAAAGGCTCCAGTTTCTGGACGGGTTAAGGAAATTTTCCTCTTGATAATTGCATTACAGTTGTTGGGGTTCCTGAAAAACCGCTTGATTGGTTTCAAGGGGAAGTTACATATCATAGCTTGATGCCCATACCCTAAAATAAAATATTAAAAATATATTTTTCCCAAAATAACTGTTTAAATGAATATGTGTTGATTTTCACATGGTTCCTATTTGTGGGCAGCCTGGTTCCACTTTGTGAACATCCACTGACCTAGTTTGGGGACACCAGTTTTTGTCAACGTTTATGAACGTGCATAGATCGAAAATAAAAATAGGGGAATGAGATATGTACAGCAGTATTATTCATCTTCATGAATAGTATTATTCAGTATGATCAGTATTATTCAGTATGATCAGTATTATTCAGTACAGTATTATTCATCTTCAATGATGTCCTGTTAAGAAATATCATTGGAAAAAGTAAGGAATTCAAGGGTGATAGGTCTAAAACTAAGTGAAAATGTCCAAGTTCACACTTGCTGATGAGTATACATAATTTATATGGTGGCTGACTGGCTTGTACAAAATACAGAGCATTTGAGGAAATAAATTTGCAGAGTGAATTTTGTGAAATGGCAAAAAAATAATACAAAACCGTCTGCAATTAGGCACCCATCCACAAACTATTGCCTCTCTCCCTATATCACCTTGTTGATAGTGGAAGCAGCAGAAAAGATCATGGCATCCACTACCATGATCTTTCCTGGCTCCATGATGGCTGGGTGGAAAACTTTGGTGGTTCGACCCCTGTATTGATTGCTTTGCTGCTCTGGTTCTAGATAAAATATGTGCAGTCCCATTTTATACTTTGGGATGATCAGTCAAAGACTCCTTCTGCACCAGAAGGGGAACTTTTGAACATGTCTTGGGCAATGTTGCACCCGTGTGCACATGCTTCAAACACTCCGCGACTCACCTTGCCGCTTCCATACTAGTCCTAGTCATCATTGAGGATCCTGATAATATTCATATGAGGGATCCAAAACTCTGCCTCCAGTTCATTCACTGTTGCACAGTGGTTGTTCTGCCCCATGTCAAGCAGGCATATGCTGTCTGATGGGATGATGGCTGAAACAAGTATGGGTGGGCTGGTGAGGTTTATGCAACATGTTTGGCAGTGTCTTGTCAGGTTTTCAATGTTGCTAAAAAATTATGCCAAGGCTTTTGCACTCCTCCTTGCATATTTTGTAGATCCAAGACCTGTGTGCTAGAATTGCTTCACACTTCATGAATCTTGACTGCAACTCTGACCATCAGTTCTGTTTCACCATGCCCGTCTATGATACATTCCGGATAGGAGCCACTCCGGACCCAAGGTACACTATCACCTTCATGCTGTAATTCAAGTTCAGGGGCTTCAATATAGTTTATTTTTGTTACATACTTCAAGATTTAGTTATCTTAGATGCAGCCAGGATGAAGTTGAATGTCATTACCTCATCAATATCATTGCCAGTATTTTTTTTAAATATAGCTTTGGTTTTCTATGTAACAGGAGTAGGTCATCCACATTCACGTGACATCACAATTAATTGTCCTTCATCATCAGAATGAACTGCATAATTTTGTCAGGTTCAGAAAAGTAGCTCGTCTCATTGCCATTGAACATATAAAAAAGCACTAGTAAGTGGTGTTGGGGTCTTGTGTGGCTCCTAGGGCACGGGATCGCAACGGACATAGATTTTTATTTCTGAGTGGAGAAGCCTAGCATGTTTGACAAGAGAGACTCCCAAGAATACAGCAATTGAAGATGTGGGATGTTAAAGAACTCCAGCAATGTGAACTACACCCAGGTAGTGCATACTTGGGGTAACCATGACGATGAACAGGGGATATTGTGCAGATTCTTTAGGCTCTTGACAGGAGCAGCATGGTCCTGAGTCACAATGCTGCTCCAACTTTACGTAGCACATGTCGTAGCATAGAATGGGGAAATGTCGATTTTCTGCTGCCATTTATGACATTAGTTCAGATGTTGGTAGACTTACCGATTTCCCGTGCGATGACAGTTTTCGTGGAACTTTCCGTAGCCATTGTCGTTTCGGCGAATCTTAGCATATTTATTAGCATAGAAAATATCGATTTACTGATGCCGTTCATGCCATTGATTCATATGTTGCCAAAGTTGTCGTATTCAGAAGGAATCACGGGATTCGCAGAACTTTCCGTTGCCCATGTCGTTTCAGCGAATCCTAGCACAGAATGAGGAAATCTCGATTTTCTGCTGCCGTTCATGTCATTCAGTCATTTGTTGGTAGAGCTATATTGTTCTGATGGAATCCTGGTTTTCGCGGAAATTTCCGTTGTCCATGCCATTTCTGTGGAGCTTGGGATAGAATGAGGAAATGTCGATATTCTGCTGCCGTTTAAGCCACTGATTCAGATGTTGGCAGAGTTGTCGTATTCTGAAGGAATCACGGTTTTCGCGGAACTTTCCTTTCCCCATGTCGTTTTGGCGAATCTTAGCATAGAATGGGGAAATGTCGATATTCTGCTGCCGTTTATGCCACTGATTCAGATGTTGGCAGAGTTGTATTCTGAAGGAATCACTGTTTTCCCGGAATTGTCCGCAGTCTATGGCTCCTTGGCGAATCTTCGCATAGAATGAGGAAATGTCGATATTCTGCTGCCGTTTATGCCACTGATTCAGATGTTTGCAAAGTTGTCGTATTCTGAAAGAATCCCGGTTTTCGCGGAATTGTCCGCAGTCTATGGCTTCTTGGCGGAAATTTTCGCTGTCGATTCCATTTCTGCGAATCTTCGCATAGAATGAGGAAATGTCGATATTCTGCCGCCGTTTATGCCACTGATTCAGTTGTTGGCAGAGTTGTCGTATTCTGAAGGAATCACGGTTTTCGCGGAACTTTCCGTTCCCCATGTCATTTTGGCGAATCTTAGAATAGAATGAGGAAGTCTCGATATTCTGCTGCCGTTTATGCCACTGATTCAGATGTTGGCAGAGTTGTCGTATTCTGAAAGAATCACGGTTTTCGCGGAAAGATCCGCAGTCTTTGGCTTCATGGCGAATCTTAGCATAGAATGAGGAAATATCGATTTTCTGCTGCCGTTTATGCCACTGATTCAGATGTTGGCAGAGTTGTGGTATTCTGAAGAAATCACGGTTTTCGTGGAACTTTCCGTTCCCCATGTCGTTTTGGCGAATCTTAGCATAGAATGAGAAAATCTCGATATTCTGCTGCCGTTTATGCCACTGATTCAGATGTTGGAAGAGTTGTCGTATTTTGAAGGAATCACGGTTTTCCCGGAAATTTCCGCTGTCAATTCCATTTCTGCGAAGCTTGGGATAGAATAAGGAAATGTCGATTTTCCGCTGCCGTTTATGCCACTGAATCAGATGTTGGAAGAGTTGTATTCTGAAGGAATCACGGTTTTCGCGGAACTTTCCGTTCCCCATGTCGTTTTGGCGAATCTTCGCAAAGAATGAGGAAATGTCGATATTCTGCTGCCGTTTATGCCACTGATTCAGATGTTGGCAAAGTTGTCGTATTCTGAAGGAATCACGATTTTCGCGGAATTGTCCGCAGTCTATGGCTTTTTGGCGAATCTTCGCATAGGATGAGGAAATGTCGATATTCTGCTGCTGTTCATGGCATTAAGTCAGATGTTAGCGGAGAACTTTCCGTAGTCCTTGTCGTTTTGGCGAATCTTAGCATAGAATGAGGAAGTCTCGATATTCTGCTACCGTTTATGCCACTGATTCAGATGTTGGAAGAGTTGTCGTATTCTGAAATAATCCCGGTTTTCGCGGAAATTTCCGCTGTCTATTCCATTTCTGCGAAGCTTGGGATAGAATGATTAAATGTCGATATTCTGCTGCCGTTTATGCCACTGATTCAGATGTTGGCAGAGTTGTATTCTGAAGAAATCACGGTTTTCGTGGAACTTTCCGTTCCCCATGTCGTTTTGGCGAAGCTTAGGATAGAATGATGAAATGTCGATATTCTGCTGCCGTTTATGCCACTGATTCAGATGTTGGCAGAGTTGTCGTATTCTGAAGGAATCACGGTTTTCCCGGAATTGTCCGCAGTCTATGGCTTCTTGGCGAATCTTCGCATAGAATGAGGAAATGTCTATATTCTGTTGCTGTTAATGGCATTAAGTCAGATGTTAGCAGAGAACTTTCCGTAGTCCATGTCGTTTTGGCGAATCTTAGCATAGAATGAGGAAATGTCGAGTTTTTGCTGCCGTTCATGGCATTAATTCAGATGTTGGTAGAGTTTTCGTATCCTGAAGGAATTACGGTTTTCCGCTCGGCTCCATTAGATCGGCTACATTATGAAAAGTATCGGGGACTAATTCTATCTGTATTAGTAATTGAAACATCATAGGAACTACTATGGCGCCATCTAACTTCGGTTGTGGAACCCTTTCTTTTTTCAGCCGATGTCAGATGAATACCAATGATATTCTTGAGGAAAATATAAGCGTTCGACGAATGTCCTTCAAATGCAGAAGGTATTTTTATTAAAAGGCAGCTCACCTGAGCGTCAAAAAGGTGCACGTTCCATTACACTGGAAGTCCAAATACCTCTTTGATAACATGTTTGTGATGTAACAAGCGATCAATATTAATTGGTCACTTGTCCTGTTCCAGATTCGAGAGTTAAGGCAGGTTCGCCAGACAGAAATTCCGGAGAAATGGAAACCCTCGTGATCTTTCCAAGTATATTACTTAACTTTATTAAAATAAAGACACTAATGAAATATCAAAATAAAAAAATAAAGGAAATAAGGAAAACACAGTTCTTCACAATACTTGTTAAAGAATGTATGTTATTACTTAATATTGTATGGGAGAAGGATCCAGCTGGGGCAAATTCTACTTGAATTTGCAGGTTTATTTTATTACTGTTCTCACTCTCTAAGTTACTCTAACTTTAATTTGGGCCACACATCTCACACAACCAAGGGACAGGGCTTACCTTTACGATGGTAGGTTGTCCTGGAGTCAGCTCCGGATATGGTAAGGTCACAATGATGCCTTCCAAATAGCGACTGACTCCAGGATCCAAGTCTCCGGCTAATATCCTCGATACCTCTGGGAGGAGCCAGGGTACCTTCCTCCCAAAATCCGAGGTTCGGATTGGATATTCGACTTGGCCCCCTTTTGTCCCATTGGCTACCCTTTCGGTGTTGGCCTCGACTTAATTTATTTAAAGTCATCACGATGGTGTGACTTGCTCATTATCTTAATGGATTTGGTTTTATGTGTTTGCCCCAGTTGGTTACAGGGTTGTCCCATCCCTACACTGATAACATTTCATTATTCTTTACTTTATACTGAGTATTA